TCCTTCTATCCCTCCATCCATCCATCCATCCATCCATCCATCCATCCATCCATCCATCCATCCATCCATCCATCCATCTTCTGATCTTAATCCCAGGTGGGGTTGCTAAAGGGCTGCTGGTATCTATCTCCAGCTGTCTGGGGGAGAGGCGGTCCACCCAGGACAGGTCGCCAGTCCGTCGCAAAGAAGCCTAATCTGCACTGAAAAAAGTAATGCAACCGTTTTTAGCATTTATTTAATCATATTTAGTGACTATAAACAGTTTTTATTTATTTTATTTTAGTAAGGTAGAACATAAAACAATCGTGTGAAAGTAACTAAATATGATTAACTAAATGCCAAAAAACGGTTGCATTATTTTTCCAGTGTGTAAATAGTGTCTCTGTTCCCAACAGCAGCTGTTTCATCATTGCTAGATCTAGAACATTCAACAGAAACAGTTTTTAACTCACCGATAGAAAAGAGAAAGATCCTTAATGGGCTCTCCATTACATATTGTCATTCATATAAACACAGAGCTCAGTTTGTCTGTTTCATCTTCCTGTAATTTATTAGACGCGGAGGTGTGAACTGGTTTCAGATCGCTCCGCCCCCAGTGCCTTCATTACTAAACCAGGGCAGGTGCACCAGGCATAATTAATTAAACACAAAACAAACTGATCAAGAAAAGTCTGCAGCAATGAAAAGATGAATTTTAATCAAGGTTGTTAGTTTATGGAAATATCTTAATGATGAAAAAAATGCAAATCTTTCTCTCGGTTCTGAAAGTCATGATGATGAAGACATATTGGTTAGGATAGTTTTTTTCTGTCATTTATTTCTGTGTTGAATTCTATTTGTAATTTTACAGACTTTTAATTTTAAGAGTTAAAGGTACAGAGGAGATCTTCTATTTCCGGGTGGATCATCTAAATAAGTGGTCCTCCTAATTGTCAGTCATTCTGGTGATATGTTTAGTAAGGCCGTCCTACATGTTTGTCCCGTTTGTTATTTTTTTCTGCGCACTTTAACTGGCATGAAATGTCTTTAATGGAGGGAAGAGGAGCCCTGATGATCCTCTCTGCTGTTCTCACCACTCTCCTCACTTTCTTCCAGTCTGAGGCGCTGCAGCCTCAACACCACACAGTGAGACAACTTGTCAGAACGCTCTCTATGGTGCTTCTGGAGAAGGTGGTGAGGATGGGTGGGGGCATCCTCTGCAGCAAGTACATGCGCTTCTGTGCCCTTTTGACCAGTGAGTTGGTGTTTACAGTGCAGGTGAGGGTCTGTGATCTGCACCCCAGGAATTTGGTGCTGTTGACCACCTCTACAGCTGAGCAGTTGATGCGCAGTGCAGTGTGGTTATGCTGGTTCTTCCTGAAGTCCAAGGTGATCACCTTTATCTTCTCCACATTCAGGATCAGGCTGTTACCTTTGCACCAGTCCACCAGCTGCTCCACCTCCTCTCTGTA